AGGGGCTAGGGAGCTAGGGAGATGGCTCAGTAAGTAAATGCTTAGCACAAAAGAATAAGGACCTAAGTTTGGATCACCGGCGAAAAGCCCTGTAACAGAGCGTTGGAGAAATGGAGACAGGAGGATCCCTAATTGCCTAATCAATGAACTCCAAGTTCAGTGAGAGATGTTGTCTCAACATTTAAGATGGAGAGCAATCAAGACCTGAGGTGATTTAAATAAGTTGTTCCCCTTAGGATCACATATTTGAATGCTTAGTCACTAAGAAGGGGAACTCTGATAGGATTAGAAAGGTTAGGAGGTGTGGCCTTGTTGATGGAGGTGTGTCACTGGGGGTGGGCTTTGAGGTTTCAAAAGCTGGTGCCAGGCCCAGTATACCTTTCTGCTTGCAGATCAGAAGGCCGCTCTCAACTGCTTCTCCAGCACCGTGCTTTTTATGCCTGTTGCCCTGCTTCCTGCCATGACGGTAAGGGACTGAACCTCTGAAACTGTAAGCAAATTAAATGCTTTCTTTTGTAAGAGTTGCCTTGGCCATGGTGTCTCTTCACAGCAATAGAATGGTGACTAAGAGAGACACCCTATTGTGACCTCTGGCCACCCTTGGGTTATTGTATTGCTATATACAGTTCTCCCCATTGCATATTATAAAATATGCATAATCAATTCATAGAGTTGTAGTTAGTTGTGATGGCCACATTTACCAATTTATATCTGAAATTAAATAATTGTGTTTCTTTTCATATTGACGATATTTTAAATGCTAGGTAAACACGTGGTTACCATAGTGACAGCACAGATCAAGAGCTTTTATTTCTGCCATTGAAGAAGAGTCCCTGGGCAGTGCTGACTTGGAGTCTGTTAGATTTGAAGAAATAACAACGGAACAGAACACACATGAACTGGTCATACTCCGTACTATGTAAAGACTATGTAAAGAAAAAAGAATAACATAATATGAATCAATTTTATCTGCATAAAAAAGATGTTTAGCCGGGCGTTGGTGGTGCACGCCTTTAATCCCAGCACTCGGGAGGCAGAGGCATGCGGATCTTTGTGAGTTCGAGGTCAGCCTGGTCTCCAGAGCGAGTGCCAGGATAGGCTACAAAGCTACAGAGAAACAAAACAAACAAAAAAAGATGTTTAATGCCTTATGGCAACATACTATTTAAGGGAGATGAAGATGCTGGTGTTCCAAACAATGTCATAAGGAATCCCAGCTTTCCTGATAACCATGCCTTCAAGTAGTTTGTTGCTAGAGTTTAAGTCATGCTGGGGAGGGTGGCAGTAAAAGCTGTCTGTACAGCTGGGTCATTCAAATCCATGCATCCATCCAAACATACATACACACATGTACACTCTACCTGCAGCTAGCTGCTGACTTTTGTCTCCGAGGCAACAGGGAAATAACCAGATTGGAGACATTGCCCATTGAAAGATGGAGATTTGGTCAATTTCTGCTGCCCAACTGTTACTGAACTCGGGGGTCACAATCTGAGCCCCAAGTCAGGTTCAGGTATCCATCCTCAATAAGCCATTAAAAACAGCCAAACTAATCGTGGGAAGAAGAAAATGGAGAGTTATCCAACGTAGTCACATTACTTACTTGGGGCACAGGTTGTGACTTCCAAGTTCAATAACACAAACCCAGAATGTTTCTGGGGAGCACGTTGACTTCAAAAGCGATCAGTATGCCAAGCTGACAAGTCTCCAGGCTGCTGAGTTATTTTACTCATTATTGGATGCTGTGGTCCTGGTGCAGCCTGAAAACTGGAACAGCCTGCGATGGGGTGGAGTGAAAAGTGATGGAGCAGCAGCGGTTCTGACCGTGTCGACGTCTGGGCTTTCTAAGCTTTCGGGTGGACTCTGGTCATTTAATAGTGCGATGGGGAAGGCACAGTGCCCAGTCCGCCGCCATAAGGCTCTAAACCAGAGATGTCAGAATGAGCTCGGGAGCCTGTGGTCCCGGCACGATGCAGGTGGGCGTGTCGTCCGGCACCGCTGCCCCTGCGCCGCCCCGCCCCCTCGGTGGCTGCTCCGCGCCGATTGGCCCCTCTGCAGCTTGTGGGCCGTCACGTGCCGGAGTGTCCCCGGTCGCCTAGCTGTGGGCGGCGGGGCATGGACCCTCAGGAGGCCAACGGTCAGGGGTCCGGCGAGCCAAGTGCGC